ACCACATAAGGCCTTCAAATGTGGGTTTCCCGATGCCTCTGAGGAAATGAAAATCAGTTCACGTTATGCAATAATATAATCACAATGTAAAAGCTTTTGTTGAACTACAACTTGATGTGAAAAATCCCTCATAAGACAATTTTGAATTCTGGTTTATCCTTGTAATTGAAACTGCACCTCACCTGTGTAAAGAGGCTATCACATCTAGCGACGGTCCCTGCTAGACGGGACTTATCTGATAAATGGGATTCTCGGGATTTCTGGTAGCAGTGGTTTAAACGGGAGGATTCCTAGAAAAAAGAGCCCCGCTGGAAGCGTAGCTACAGAAACGATGTACCGGCTACGCGCGGAAATTTTTAAACCTCGTCGAAAATGTTTCAGCTGCAACTCTGTCCCGCGTAGAGATCAACCAAGCAGACGAAAGTTCTGCTTCTGAACGATCACGTGATCACAATCTGAGCGATAATCGATTACTGTTTGGCGTTTACTCTTTTTAGTAAGGGTAAATGGTATGTGGTTAGCTATGTGGGTTTTCTGGGAATGTGCGGGTTCTGAGATTGTCCTTTTCGACGTCAAGTCCCTCGTAGTTGAAACGTAATGTGATTGGGACTTAAAAGACACTCGTTGACCCATGCGTAAAAACTGAATTTTTACGAGAATAGATGAGGATGCATGTGCTAAACATTTCCATTTCAGTAACAAAGCAGAATAAAATCAATGCATTTATGGGAATCTTGGTATTGCATCCGTTGCACTTTTTTAATCGCTGTTATGCCGTGTGTTTTAAAATGGACTGCCTTTTAAAAAAGATGCCTTCCTATTCCTGCTGTCCTGGTGACATTACTTAAAATTTCTTTACCTTGTTTGAATAATAGTAATTATCGACTTGGGTTCGAGCCCAAGCAGATGGATTGGCTGCATGACTGGTTTTCTTTATTTACTCTATTTGTAACGAAAATACGAGCCAGTTTCCCTTAATTCTTCACGAAGGCATCTCTCTTAAGCATAAAACCGTAGAATACTTTTCATATGTAGGTAACCTAACGTAACATTCTTTATCTTAGTTCTTTTTTTCTAACATAGGCCCTTTTGTTAAGCGTTTCACATAGCGATCTTCTTACAATGCATCTGGAGTATTGCTACCATTTTAATAAAATAACTTCATTGACGCTAGACATTCTTTCCTGTCTATCATGTTGTAGAGTTCCTCATTTTGTAAATGCTAAGTTACAGTTGAACGTGAAGAATCTTAAGAACTGATAAGCGAATAATCGCTTGAGTTCGTGTGACAAGAAACAACAAGATGGAAGGGTAAAATAACCCTTTTATTATTCAAATAAGATTTAACAGAACTCTGTCTTGGAGTGTACAATAAAAGCGATACTTGGGGTGAACTTAAGAGGCTAAGAAGTAAACTAAAACTAATCTAAAGAGATATAGCCGAAGCTATCAAGATTCTAACCGAGTTGGCCCCTTAACTTACTTGACTACGAAGCTTAACAAGGGCCTAAGTACGGCCGAGCGCAATAACAGCTTTGAGAGAGAGAGTGGCCAAAAAGGCAGACGCACGTAAATCAGAAACTCTGATTCTCTTTGCCTCTGTAAGTAACTTCGCGGTTTAAATACTGATCCTCCTCATTATGTATTCAGACGTGATTCTAAAACTACGTTCTGGCCGGAAGTAGTAAGTTGAAGTTAAGAATCGACGGGAAAGGAACTGAAAATTTAATTGTTAATAAAATTAACATAATCCTTAAAATATTAAACATTTTAAATTACCACATTAAACATCATTTAACACAAAATTGAACAGCATTTTATATTATTATACATATCATCACATGACACGTACGCAGTTCTTAGAATGGTGGTGTTTGACTTTGAATGTCTGTCTACTTATAAGACTGTCTCCAGAGTTTTAAACTTTTCATGCGTATAAAATGAAGCTTCAGAACATTTGCTGCCAGAGATGAGCATTGCTTGTCAAATTTTATGAAAGTCTGAAATCCTTTCTACAGCTTTCTTCCACAAAGCATCCCATGTTTAACATCTATACGAACCAGTTTCCCTTTAAATGTCTCCCACGAAGACATCCCTCCCTTTAGGCAGATAGCCTTCGCCTGCTTTGCCGTAATTAAATAAAGATAACCAAACTATATAAGCATACGTACGTACGTTTAGGTCTCAAAAATCTCTTTTCAAATCCATTTTACGATTCGTTTTGGAGAACAGAATCCTTTATTCTGTCTGTATGTACAGATATCACCCAAAAGGACCGTCAAAATGAATTCGGGAATAATCATAATAAATATTTCTATTGGATATGATATCCAAAATGTTTCGAGATTATGATACAAGAAAGTAAAAAAGGCCAATTCAGTTCAGTGAGCGAATGGTTTTGTTCTGATCCCATAAAAATTACAGTGTTGCTTATCTCCAGTCAGCATTCAGGCGTACTGCATACTCGTTACTGTCCGTTACCTTAAAAATTGAATACATTGTTTTAATGGGTCGACCATCATAACATACCCACATATAATGCCGGATATTGGGCCAAATGTAAACCTGCGTTGCACTTTAAGTTCTCCAATGAAAAATATCAAATGTTTTTACAATTTAATTATCTGTTTAAAACCACCGACGGAAAATCCAAAATCACGATCCATTGAAAAGCTGTATAACTAGAATGATGTAATTTCAGGAAACATCATTGTATTATAGATATACATTCAGTATTATAGATTGAAGACAAATCATGTCTTCAATCTATAATACGTTTTTCATCCTCAGTTTTAAAATTCTTCAAAATCTCTCAAAAAGACTCCTTGAATTAAGTAAATAGGGTTTCGTATTTGCAACGGTAAGTAAATAGGGTTTCGTATTTGCAACGGTAAGTAAATAGGGTTTCGTATTAGTAAACGGTTTCGTATTTGCAAAGGAATTCCAATGCTTACAGAAAATCCCGGCTATTTAAAATATATTTCATAACCATTTGAATATTGAAATTTTGAAACAGTTGCGCGACAAGTGTTCCGATTAAAAAAGCACATTTTCTTACAAACATACTACCAAAATCTCCGTACTTTAAAATACTTTAAAATATTTAAAGTACTCAAAAAATAAAGTAAGTTCTGAAGACAACGTTTAAAAAAGGATTAAAGTTGGATTTTTTGTTTTGTTTTGTTTTTTGTTTCATATTACTGCGCCGCAGTCATAGAAGAATTTAATAGCAACAGTTTCTTTCATTCAGATTTCTTCCTTTTTGCTGTGCATGCCAGCGTTTCCAAAAAATATTTCCGCTGTCTAAAGCAATGCAGAATCTCTTCGTTATTGCGCTTTCAGTACTAAGACTGGAATTCTTGTAAAAGCAAATAAGATGCTGAGTACTGAATCGTAAATAAAAGGGACTGAAATGACATCATTTGAATATTCCTTTCACGAATGCTCCTTGAGACTAGTAATCGTGCCTGAGTTTATGTGCCCTTTCCAACAGATCGAATTTCAAAAGATTCATATCGTTTAGATGGCAGAAGATTAATTTCAGAAATGCGAAAGGGATACTTGTAGGAAAAATTATGATATCTAATACTTCACATGTCTCAAAGCGAAAGACTTTCCATCATAAAAGACCAACAAAATTAATTGAAATATCTCTAATTGAAATTTTTTTAATTGTCTTCCAACTAGCACGGTGGTTCTTAACCATTTTCGCCCACATGCACCCGTTTCACCATTGCTAGATGATCATTCCCCATTCAATTCTAAAACTCAAAAAATGCATATACATTTAATTAAATTGTACAGACATTAAGAGTTTTAAAGTAGGAAACAGGAAAAATAAGCAATACCTTTGTCGAGACCCGAACCTGGATTCCTCGAATACGGGCCGAGTGTGCTACCCTTACACCGAGAAGGCCACTTTCTAACGAGCGACTGGAGATTAGGGTACCCAATCGCCAAATCCTGGTAGTGAAGAATCATCATCCAGCACCTTTTAGTTCAGCGCCACTGTAAAGACATTAGCATTTTTAAGAAGAAAACACCAAAAAAATTAGCAATGGCCTCCCCGAGAATCGAACCTGGACCTCTCGAATACGCACCGAGAGTGTTACCGTTATATCACGAAGGCATGCAGAAAAGAGAAAGAAAATACCTTATAAAATTTAGATTACTTTTTAATGTGTTTTATAAATTAAGAAAGAAAAATTATATAAAATGTTGTCAAGTAACAAAACTTGAATAAAAGTAGTTTTTTTATCTTCATAAACTAAAGTTAAATAGTTTACAGATAAGTATAAGGCCGCCCGCGTTCCTCCTTAAAGCTGTGAAATTCTCCCAGGAGGATTTACCCCTGAACTTTCAGTACCAGTTTGGGTTAATATTTCAAACGTAATCTACATTTAAATATGGAATTGAATATTAGTTGTCTCACTTGGGTTTAAACTCAGTAACGGACTGGCTCCATTATCGATTTGTGTGGTTTTTCTAGTGTAAGTATAAATACGAGTCAATTTCTCTTCAAACGTTCTTCACGAAGGAATCCCTTTTCATAAACTAAAGTTACATAACATTTTATATATATAACATTTTATGTTAATTAACCAGCTTTATGATCTGAACCATTACCTATTATGATTTGAACCTTCCCGTAGTCCTCAGAATGCAAATTATTTGTTTGTGTGTTTAAGCTGAGAGTTTGAATGTTTAGCATTATAATTTCTAGCAGCTTCAGTTTGCTGTTGCGTATTATTGCAGGCTCTGCCTACGTTTATTTCCGTCCTTTCTGCCCATTTAAGATTTGAGTAAAAAATGTTATTTTAACCTTCTTTATACCTGATGATTTGTTTAAGACTGAGCTATCAGTCACTTCCAGTCTTGAAGGGTTTGCACGACATTAACATAAACTACTAGATAAAGCAGAACCCTACAAGCAAATAGTTCTAATAGTTCAATGTTCAAATAATTATTCTAGGATCTCACATAACTCGTCTTTTTTGCAGATGTTATTAGAGAAGACGAACGGTCAGAGCTGTGGGCCCAGAGTAAGTGCTCGGCTTCTCGCCGAGATTCCATGTGACATGAGTAAAACTGGCTATTGCAGTGCTCCAGGAAGCGCATATCCATGGTAAGAAAAACCAAGCATAATTTTGACTAAAAGTAACCAACCATCATATTTAGATGAACTCTTTATTGATTCTAGAGCGTAGATATCATAACATTACAAATGACTTCTGACTCCCACATTCCTTTTCGGAACGTTTCATTAAGAAAGATGAAATGGCGACATATATGGGATACACAAATTGGTAACAAACTCAGTCAAATTCGAAGTGGAGAACTGGAAGTGGCTGAAAAGTTGCAAAGAGCAAGTCCTATTGTCTCACTTGAGGGTCAGTTACTGCAGGTTCATACATCAACCAACGCGAACCGATTCCTCATGGAGCAGGCATAGAAGTCGCTTTCCTCCCACTATGGCAAATGCAGCATTGCCGAATCTTGGTAGCCGAAGGAGGTGTAGTACTTTTGTTTACGCCCACAGTATGTTATCTTGACAGCGGTTAAGTAATATTTCTTTCCTACTTCCATGATCTAGGCGATGTCTCCATAGCATCTGATGAAGAAGGACAACCAATTTAATCTACATGGCATGTGGCTTTATCTGTTATCTATGAACTTATTCAAGTAACTATTTTATGATATCTTAAAATCAGGAGCTGTTTTTTTTTTTTTTTTTTTTTTGTGTGTGTGTGTGTGTGTGTGTGTGTGTGCTCATCTTGTATATAGTGAAGTTTACTTTAGACCACCTCTGTTTTGTCTTCTTTGGAAGAGACCACTTTATAGAAGTGCTGTTTAGTATCTATATTTATTTATATTTTAAGAAATAAAGATCACTTTTAGACATAGTCGTCTAAGAGAGAGGGTAGGTAATAGACACTCCACTGTCTAATTATATATAATATTTATTTGCAATGAAAGTGCTGTATAATTCCTTAAATTGTCATGTAACTCATGCAACTCTTTTTCTTTCAGGAGTTCCGTAAAGCGTTACATCAACGATAATCAAGGCCTCGTGCGTCGCATGTATGGTGATGAAAGACACAGTTCGGTCCTGATGCATGAAATTGATGGTTTCAGAATGAAGTTTGATATGCTTCAAGCTGCCTTTAATGCTCCTTATAGTAGGACAGAGTATGGTCGTTCTGCCAGGAGCAGACAAAGACCGACACGTCGCCAACCTAGACCCCAAATCTTTCCTGACGATCCAGAAGAGGAAGAAGATTTGAATCCATCTAACTCTAGAGAACCTGCCACAATTTTCAGAGTCGTCACAGAGACTTCCATCAAAGTGGGGGAAGCCATCACCCAAGCTATGAAAGCCGAAGAACAGCGAATGACTTCTCAAGAAACCGTTGTCTCTTATGAGCCAGCTTCTGAGTTTGAAACCCCTACTACTGACAGCATTTCTAGTACCACACAAACAGCCACCACTATGACAGATGGTACTACAACGACCGCAACAACGACCACTGAATCTACTTTTGAGACTCGATTTTCCACGGAGACACCAACCACAGCAGAAAACAGTACTACGACACCTTTCGTTGACGTCAGTGAGAAAGTCAGTGAACCAGATAATCCTGTAGCTATGGAACGTATTGGCTATCCAGACTATGGCGAAGACTATGGGTTTGAACCTAGAAGGAAGCTGGATTCCGCCGTTCTCGAGAATAGTGTGGAAGAGAAAATCGTTGACAAAGATGAAAGCGGCATTTCGAATGCTAAAAGGACAGATACTTCAAAATTAAGTAATGACGCTAAAATCGATGGGGATCTAGTTATAGATTCAACAGAAGAAGAAGAGTCACGCGAAGAAAACGAGGCAGATTTGGAAGAAGAGGAAGAAAAGGAAGAGGAGGTACCTCGAAGGGGAATGTAAGTTCAAAACAAAATAACTTAAAATAAAAACAAAGCATTTATTATTAGAACACACAGCATGTAGCTCTCTTTTTTTATAACGTAATTGGCCAATTTTTATGGCGACGTATGCGATAAAAAAGAATAAAACATTTGTAGTTCTATTAAACAAAATACAATATATACATATTTTGAAGCATATAAATAAAAAATGTGTATAATTTAATAAGCCGTACACGAAAGTTGTGTGGAGTCTACATAAAATACTTTTTTACTAAATAAAGAGGATGTTAAGATTTGTTACTTTTTAAATTCATACTAAGTTCACATAATTTAAGATTACGTCAGAATACTAATCAATTAACTGATCTTCGATGTCTGTGTTTATGTTGCTAAATATCAATACTTCTTGTCTATCTTAGAAACTTTGCTCTGGTTCTTCTCATGCACGCCTGCACTCTTTTTAGGGGGGGGGAACTGATTGACACATTCAAGGTAAATTATCTTGATATGAGTCCAATTTTTTAGTTCCCTTTTTCGTTAGAATACATTGCTTTTAAGAATGCACCAAATTCTTTTGATAGCTTAAGTTATGAGGAGAGAGCATTATTTCATTTAGACCCAAAATTCCAGTTTTTTAAATACATTTACTTGATAGCATCTTTCGTACAATGGTCGGCAGCTGAGTTCGATGAGCTTAAAAAATATCTTAAATCTGATAATGGTATTTGATGAAAGAAATGGAATATTTTTAATTCACTGATTTAAATGGGTGGAACCATTTATAGCCGCCGATTGATCGACAAAGATGAAATTGGTAGGCTTATTTGGTTTATCTCCTTAGGGTAAAGCACTCGAGTGCTATCTGCCTTAGCGGAGAGATGTCTTCGTAGAGGAATTTCTAAGAGAAACTAGCTATACACTTAAAACATAGGTAAAACCTCGAAACCCAATCATGCAGCCATTCCGTTCGCAGGAATTTCTAACCGCTGACCAAACTACTAGTGTTCAGCGAATAGTCGTTTCCATCCACTTACGAATGGAATTAATTGCTAATAAAATTTAGAGAAATTCTTTCTTCGTAATTCTAAATCTTTGTTTTTCTATTTCAAATAATTCTATTCAATTTGAGGAATAAAAATATCCAGTTTTTTTACCAAATTTTCATTAAAGCATTTTCATCTTTTATTTGTTTCTTTCTAGGACACTAATTTTAAAATTTTATTTGATATGCTCCTTTATAGTATTTTATAACACAACAAATCGTTGTTTTTGGTTCTTTTGACTATTTTTCTAACCTTCAAATAGTGTTCTTTTGGCACTACAATTTTAAAAAGGCCTTCTTTATGTCTTAATAGTCTTTAACTAAGGTTGTCATTTTATAAAATTTATAGCGTTTAACTGAAACTGCCGTTACGTTAAAGGAAATGTATTGCTGCTGCTATGGAAATTTGGAAATACTGCATATTTAGATTTAATGGCTAATTAATATATTCACTGTAGTTTTCTCATTTCTTATCAGGTGCGCGTTTAGTCTAAATGAATCTTTGACATGTTTTTACACTTCTTAATATTATATCATACGAGCTTATTACAACTAGATGAACCAATCGACTGCATCGACTGCACTCCATTGTGCCTATCGCAAATATTGATTTGTTAAGTGAATTTCTTTCAATCCACGTGCAACCAAAATATCGAGCTTTATAACGAGTTCACGACATCTTAAGTGATTTTGTGTGTGTTACATTTAACCTTTTTCAAATCTCTCGCACAGTTATATTGTAGAGTCATTAGGTTATTTTGAAACAAACGGCATGAAAAATAACCAATGCCCCTGCCGGGACTCGAACCTGGACCTCTCGAATATGCGCCCAGCGGGCCAACCGTTACATCATGAAGGCATGCTGGAAAGAGGAGAAAATACTTTATAATATGGTCCTTCGATTCTATTGTGGCTTTAATTTTGCCATCATCAATTCCAGAAGGAGGGCCAGAACATTGTTCATCTTCAAGTGAAAAATCTCCAGACCGAAAACTTTTAAACCAATTCTGACCCACGCGATCTGTTAAGCAATCAACACCATGAACTTCACATACTCTTTGTGAGCCTCAGCCACTATTTTGACTTTATGGGGGGGGGAATGTAAAATATGTCGAAAATGTTTATTTTTGCAGCCCATGTTGAAATTGACCGTAAACTAATAGATATAAACAAATGTACACGGAATTTTCCTCTATGGCATCCTAAACGAGTCAGCTACCAAATCTCAAAAGAAAACAAAATTCTAATATAGACAGAAGAATACGAAACGAATATAACGCTATCTTTTGTGCAGACCGATATTACATTCTTGTCACACCAAGAGTAATTTAAAATCAGATCCATTCTATATGATAAACGTGCATACTTCATTTTCATACATTTTTGTTAACCTTTTACTAATTTTCCCTTTTACAGAAATGCATGTCCTGTCAAAAACGAAGTCATTGCTCCGTACTGGGCCAACAACACCAGAGGAGAAACTCTAGCACTCCTGAATGTTCATCCATTCGAACAGTACGTCCATTTTGAGAAATGCGCGTAAGTATTCCTTTTTCCCCTTTGGAGAATAAATAATTTATTAAAGTTTTGAAGAAATTTGAAGTACAAAAATTACGAGTGTTTTGTATAATTTTTTTAAAAAAATTTTACAAAACAAATAAATCCTGTAATAAACTTTTTAATGTACGTATCATGCAATAAAGTTTTTAATTTTCATCATGTAATAATTTTTTTAAAAATTATTGCATGATGTATTTTTAGATCAACTGTTATTTGTAGGTAAGTCATTTTGCGAGGACTGTAAAACCTGTAATTAACCCATAATATATTGGGAAATGTTACATTGGTAACAAGCCTTCTTTTGAGATTCATCAATCAGTTTTTCACTGTAATGTGAACTACTAACTCACTTTTGCTTCCATGTATGGAGTAAAATGTGAGTACGTAGTCGTGAAAAATTTCGAGTATCATATTTCAACAAAAATATCCGTTTTGACCGTTCCCGAATTCTTGTTTTCGACAGCGGATTGTAAAACGGATTTAAAATGGATTCAAAAGGGTTTTTTTCGTGACGCCTATACGAATGTACGCACCAACGTACGTATAATATATATGTCTCTCTCATGACTAAAAACTATTAGTTTTAGAGCACTGAAATTTTGTATATGGGACTGCTATGTCATGTGGTTGTGCACCTCTCTTTTTTATTGCAGTCGGCAGTGCCAAGCACATACATATATAGTATATGCATTCCTTTGCCCTGCTTAAAATTCCAAGGACGACCTTTATTTTTACAATCCTTGGTAGTAAACATATGCTTCCAGCTACAGAAGCGTTTTAAATGATGAAATTAATCGGAATATTCAATTTCCAAATTTTCAAATTTTGATGTCCTTTTCAACTTGCCTTGAAAAAATTGTAAATTAAGTTAGAAACATTTGATAAATTAAGAGCGCAACAAAAATACAGAAATGTTTTAATCACGAAAATTGGCAGTATCGTACTTTTTTAAAATACTAATTTTGAACAAATAGTGAAATATATCTTTTAATGCCTTCTACCGGCTCTTATGTTTATATTTGAGAAATTTTTATACTCGTTATGAAAAAATGAAATTACAAGACGTCTGAATCCGGAACAACAAAAATTGATTTGTGTTTAATTTCAAAATCTGCAATTTTTGATGTCATTTACAATTTGCCATGTTAGTGTGCATATAAGATTTTTTTCTTATCCGATCTGATACACCAAACCACCGGGTATAGCAAATCAAGCTTTCGGTCCACTGAAATTCATCAGAGAAGAGTTTGACAGTGTATCTCATGCAAATATATATATATGTAGAGACATTAGGTATTTTGGAAGCAGGAAAGATGAAAAACATGCAACCGCCTTCGCTGGGAAACGAACCACGGACCTCTGGAATACCGGCCTAGCGTGCAGACCATCACACCACGAAGGCATGCTAATAAGGTGGGAGAAATACCTTATACGTATATTAATAAGAAAATGTATCACAAATTTAAAGCAACAAAATGTGAGAATCAGGTATTAGGATGGAAGTAGAATAACAATATATTAAAATCAAATATTTAAGAAAGCCTAGTGAAACGTAATTGCGAAACTGACTTTAATGACATGAATAATTATCTATCATGTGATGCTGCGTTTCATTAAAGTTTTAATCAACTCTTTGGTATAGCAGATGCAGAAAAACAACTATTTTCAAAATAATATCAATACATGTGCTGTTTTAATTGAAAAATGAATTAAGAAACGTATATTACACTTAAACACTGAACATTATAAATGCAACAGTAATAAAAACAATCTGATGTGTACACCACATGACTTCCTTGTACGGAATATTAATTATACGCATTTTTTTTTTGGCATTCATTTTAAACGATTGGATGAATAAATCACTTGCAATAGCGATAACCACAATAAAAGACTCTCTTTAAATTTACTACATTTTTTACCAAGGACTAGAACGCTCGGGCACTTAACAGCGTTATATTTCGTTCTATTATAACTCGGGAATACACAAAAGTTTTATATCATTTGAAGAATTATCTAATCGTTTGCCACATGTCTATTAATACTATAATAAATCTAGAATAATGTTTAAAAAAAATTAAGCAAAGAAAAAAAAAAAAAAAAAAAAAAGAAATAGTTTCACAGACGTTCAGTATTCTCATTCAATATACAGTCTCACTTCGCTGCAAAAAATAGTACATAAAAACTCCAAAATCTATATTAAAATGTAAACAAATATGTTCTCATGTTTTTTAAAATTAGGCTTAACCGACTTAAAAGATTTTAAATCGTTGATAATTGTACAAATATTTGGTTGCAGATACTAAAGGAAAAAACTTAACGGAAGATAAGAACACAATAATTCAATATTTTTAAAGCAAAAAATGCACATTTATAAAAATATAAGAGTAAAGAAACTGAGAGCCAGGTAACAGAGTGGATATATAATACGTTTGGTGCGGATTGGCAACCAAATAACGAGGGCACATCTACATGTTATAGCAGTCCTGCATACAAATTCACCTTCTGAGGCTACTTGTTTTTGAATTATGCGAGATTGCGTACATACGCACAAATGCACAAAAATTCTCTTCAGAATTCATCTTAAGCAGTTTATAATTTGTTGGGGAGGAAAAGAACTTTTACTCTGCTCTGTTCAGATGCCACTCAAAACTCGTAAATGCATCGATAGCGGTCAAAATGGATATTTTCTTTGAAATATGCTGCCTGAAATATTTCGCAATTACAATACTTCTTTTTTACTTCGTATAAGGAAGTAAAAATCTGTAGTTGAAATTAATAAAAGCGTAGAATATACAAATGCTGTTCGCACATATTTAGACGACTTTCATTGCAATTACAGAAATATTTTACCTGAAGTTTTTCTGTTTTAAAGTTTTTGTTTGTAACCCTTATTCTTAAGTATCTTTCTATACCGCAGTTTCCAAAACAATAAACACTTTTGTAGTATCGGAAGAGGTATTTTATCCAATTGCTCTCGAACAGATTTTCAGAGTCTAAGGAGATTGCAGAACGATGTTTGGACAACCCGCGGACAATCCATAAGCGCAAAAATGCATTGGCGATAGATCAGGAGATTTCGTAGAGGTATGAGTGAGATTTCGTAGGGGTATGAGTGAAACTTAGATACCCGTTTCTTCTTCCATTCCTTTTAGAAATTAACAGTACAGTTTGGCGTGTCGCTGCCTGCTGCGTGTGGATGCAGTTCTACTAATTGATCCCAGTGTGTGTAAAGAGAGAGGGTATTTCACATTTGCAAATTGGGTAAAAACTATGTTTTTGACAACATGTGGATTCGATCTGGACATTTTTCTCCACTCTGTTTATTTTTAATTTGCTGTTATCTGAAAAACCTGAAACTATCATAAATCCTTTAGAACAACTTTCTTTAGATTCAATGAAACGTGGTTTAAGATTTATTTCTCCTCTTTTATGAAAATAAATGGGTCTCTGTTTATTGCAGTCATTTAAGTACACCAAAGAATCATCTATTGTGACAACATTTTTCCGTTTTTGTCTAGGTCAGGTTTTCTTAAACTGTGGGTCGCGACCTCCAAGGGTGTTGCGGGCCCTGTAGCAGGGGGTCGCCAAAACTTTTAGCAGTTTTGATAATTCTTTAAGATACAATAATTTTACAATTACCAAATGTTTTCACATTTTCACACAATGTATCTGAAAATAGATAAAGATAAGACAATACAGACCAAATTAAAAAACGAAAGCGTTTCGACGCATTCCTTTTATAATATAAACGTTAATTTTCCTTGCCTTGCACATGACGCTGTCATTTCGTCTGTTACTTATTTAAAATTTTCACATTGTTTTATGGCTTAAAATTAGAAATCAAAGTTAATGACCTAAAACTGCAATAGTATATTACAGTACAAGTGAAAATATTGACAGTTTTACTCACTTGTGTGTCGGAGTTGCGCAATATTTATGGGGTCTCACAAAATTTTTGTAAATATTATGGGGTCCTGGGGGGTCGCGAAAATATCTCATTAATAAAAGAGCGTCTCGACTGGAAAAATTTTAAGAAACCTTGGTCTAGATAAATGTTTCTCATAAAGAATTGTGCAGGAATTGTGCATTCGGCGGTATGTCATGGAGAAAAACGATGCGCATTATGCTTTTTCGCCTTTTTAAGATTCAAATCAGCATTAGTCACTTTGTTAACGGTTGACACTCATCGTTTTAATTATATTGAAACTGTCCTTCGACTTGATGGTTTTTATTTTAACATTAAAAGTCTTACTTTTTCAACATTGTAAATAATTTATTTTTTCGTTGTATACGTATCTGGAACACTTTTATCACTTGAAGCTAAATGTTGACGTTTTATTACTTTGCAATTGATAACATTACCTATTATAGCTCTAGATATCGAAAAAACATGGCTTTCACAGCGTTTTTTAATATCTAAATACGAATAATTCTTTTAGAAAAAACACGAACATAGCTTTCCATTCTTTGCTTCTTTAAAAGAGACATTTTGCATGAAAACAAAACTATCTCAAGTAAGAGATGATAATTTATGCTTTCGAAAATATAGCTGCAGTTAAAACAAAAAGCTCCAAGCAGATTTTTTTTTTTACAGAATCGAATTCGTCTAAAAAGTGTGCGAACAGCCTCAGGAACAATCGGGTAATGTTCTTGTACGTAGAATTATTAAAGTTTATATTTGGAATAGAATTCAAAACATTTAGAATATTAATAAATATCAAATGCAACTCTTTTTCTTAGCAGATTTCACCATCTTCATAATTAGGATAGTTACCCAAATCAAATTTCTAACTCCTTCAACAGTATCCTTAAAGTTTGTTAAACTACTTCTTACTATAAATATTTTCCTAGCTTATGTAAGCTTGATTTAGCAGCTGCTCTATATGCGATTATTTTCATTAAAGTCACAAAATGTTTTTTTGAAGAAACGTCTGACGGACAAGGAAATTAGCGGCCAGAGAAATTTTAAAAAAGCATATCAAGAATTCGTATATTCCCAGGCAGAATTTGTATTCCAACAAACATTAACTGGCTCATCAACAATCATTTCTTTCACAATTTTATCTCAGTATGAGTTGGCAACATTAAAGCTAGAATCTCAAATCGTTTAACATCCTCTTTAAACGTGTCTCAATAATTGGACTTCAGTTTTTTCCAGAAGCATCATTTGCAAAATGCATGGCTTATTTACTCTCGTAAATGTGACTAAAATTACACCTCTTTTGCATTACATGAAGATAATTAAGATTATTATTTATTTGCTGTAATTTTATTTCAGGTTCGAGAACCATCAGATGCTGTGCCGCGAGGGCTGTCGCTGTGAGCAACAGTACCGTTTGCACCGCTTACTGGCGTTCGACCCAAAGAATGAATGTAGGGGAATATTTTCGGACTGGTTTCGGTTTCCATCTTGTTGTGTTTGCATTTGCTACGACTTAACGCCTGACATTCCGCGCACGCGCAGCAGAAAAGGGCGCATGAAGTAGCGCCGTATTTTAAATGTTTGTGGAAATATCCTTCACATTATGCTGGCTAAACTCAAATGCAGAAATTCTGAAAATGGTGAACTCATCTGGAGATTTCCTATATAACACAGAGTTCCAGAATAAAGCATCGCAACACTCTCATATCCAACTGAATGCCTCATGTCTGACTCATGAATAAATGTTACCGTTCTGCACATCTTGAGCTTTGCCACTGTAAAACTTCAAACTTTATTGCAGTGACTGTAACGGATGAACTGCTGGTGATATGTTACTGGGATGAAACATTGCTTTCATGTATGATGTTCTGTTGGTGATGTATTTAGACTTATTGGTGATTTATTTAGAGCTTTCAATACTTGAAGAAACGCAAGTCGAGAGAATTTGTTATTGCTATTTGTGATAAATGTTACTTATATTACCTCTACTTTAGAATTTATTGCTGTTTATTTATGATGTTGCTCCAATCGGCAATCAAACAGAGCTCACATATGTAAAAGATCCAATTACTGGAGACAAAGGCCAAAGTGCACTTTTCCTTTGGCGGTGCGATGTTTTGTATCTGTACCACAGATCTCGTTTCTAGCCTAAGCCTCTTACAAGTACATTGAGGCATTTGTCGCGCAAATATACACCATCCTCTTTAATGTACCACATTATGTTTGGGCTACGCGGGACTTGACGTCGAAAGGGACAATTCTCAGAACCAACACTTTCCAAGAAAACCACGTAGCTAGGTTACCATTTTCACTTACTAAACAGACTTGAACGACAAACAGTAATCGATTATCGCTCAGACTGAGATCACGTGATCCTTAAGAAGCAGTGGTTTCGCCTGATTGGTTGATCTCTTCCAGGGACAGAGCTCCAGCCGAGACATTTTCGGTGAGGTTTGAAAATATCCTGCGTACCTGCTACATCGTTTCCGTGGCTAGGTATGACTTCGCTTCCAGTGGGGCTCTTTTTTCCAGGAATCCTCCCGTTTAAACCGGTGCTACCAGAATCTCGTTTTTCAGAAAATTCCCTTCTAGCAGGATCTGTCGCGATATGCGATAAGCCCTTAAAAGACTTTGCCACCAGATGACGGCGGCGAAGCCGAGTTCCCAATAACGTATTCTGGATTTTCACTTATTTTAAAAGAAACTAAACGACTTTAAATGGATTCTACAGTTTGGATAAAATGAAAGCAACTTTAAATGGATTCTTCAACTGCAAGACATGATTTCCATTGTGCAAGCGTTTTAATACTTCCAGAAAAATGTATTACGTGGCACCTCATTTTTAACTACCATAAGCTTTACTTTAGACGCATTTTTAGATATTTATAAAGATAAAACGAAAGCGAGACACATACATGCAAGTGAAACAACAAAAATACCCTGTATACAATTTTTAAAAGTATACGTAGAGAGATGGGGACAGAAAGGGAACATATAACGAGAATTTTCAGTATTTCACCCTAACTGGATACTAGACGCTTTGTTGTGGACACAGAACTTTCGAATATGTGCTTAAAATTTATAAAGGTCAATTATAAATTTGTGATTTATATATTTATTTTACTTATATATCAAATAAGACTGATACAAATAAGAAAATGCAATAAAGATGCAATTATTTATTGAATTAATATATGATTTTGAATTATAAGAAAGAAAATATGTATTTATTATTCTCATATATTTATGTTTCATGTACATAATATTAAATATTTTATTATTTATGTGTATTGTGAAATGTTATTACTAATATTAAGTATATTTTCTGTCAGTCAAAATCTAAATACATGAAATTGGGATTTAACCCTCTGACCGGCCAGGGTTTTCGCTAAAAAAGCACAAATTTCCCAAAACTCATATGAGAAAAAAATATTTTCTTATTTTCTCGTAAAATTTTTGGATTTGTGTGCTTTTAATACATTGACTTAATTTCCTTGACATATCTTAATATGCACGTATATATACGTTCTTACAGTCACAAAAAATATTTTATGCCGTATATATACGGCCTTGTCGGTTAGAGGGTTTTAAATATCTTCAGGCATTCATTCTCTTCAGAAAATCATTCCTGAAGTGTAGCTAGAAATTACGCTTTCGGTTTTTTACGCTTTCGCTAAGCTCGCAGTCTACCAATCCGCTGTTACACTCACTCTTACTAACCCATTTCTTTTTTGTCTTTTTAGCATTATTATTAAGCATCAATTTCTAAGTCTTGGCATGCATTTTTCTGATTTTTTTTTAGTTTTTCCTCAGTTCGTGGTATCAAAGCTCTGCTTTTTAATAAGACCGCTTTACAAACCTTTTTTCTTGTCTTTTTATTATTAACACGTTGAGTACGGCGCCGAATTTGCTGTCCTTTCCGTTCAGCTGGCAGCGAGCTAAGCCGTATATTTCTTTAGAATGTTTCAATACATTTCATTAAAACTAAATTTGTTCACATTTCATTCAGACTATATTTATTTTTTAACCTTAATACTGTCGGTCCTGTGGACTGATGCCAGCCAAACGAAAATTCCGGGGACCGACGCCGGCCACACGGAAAGCTCACTGCCGGTCCCCAGGGACCGTCGCCGGCTACACGGAAAGTTCACTGCCGGTTCCAAAAAACCGGCGCCGCGCTCAACGTGTTAACGTTTTGTATGTTTGTATATTGAACATCATGTTCATGATGCTTACGCCACATAAAATTCAATTCAACAGTAAATTCAACAAAATGTTTAAAACAACATATCTTTAGAATTTCCGATGGATAGTCTCATACGCTGGAGATAAAAATGATTTTTTCTGTACATTCTTATCACTGCTCGCTTTGAATCCTTTGCCTGAAATCCTTGAGTTTGTTAATCAAAAATTCGTTAAAGTTTTGCTAAATATGAAACTAATAAAACAAGTTCAAAATTCAAAGTTTGGGCCACCATGTGCCCATGTTCGACTGGAGGATTGCGTTATTCAAAATTCGTACCGTTGTTTTTCCACGATGCGAGAAACATACATATATTCATACAGATTCTTCATTATTTAATTTCATTAAACATTATACAGGGCGACAGAGTCATTTTCGCTTCTTTCATGCCAACTTATTTATTGCCTGCTGCTCTTTCCTCCATCGAAATGAACTGTTGTTGAAAATAAAAAAAGTGCATAAAGAACAGACGCCTTTAACGCCAATTTAGCGGTGCCAGTAAGTGATTATCTACAACAAAAGTATTGTTTTTGTTAAGAAATAAAAACGCTGTCATGATTGCATCAAGTATTATTATGGTTAATAACTATGCTTTTATCATATTAATTATTTCACACGTATTTTTGATCAGCCTATAAAAGAAGAAATGTTCAATCCTTCAGAATCTTTTACACTGATTTCCATTTTTAACGGAAAACAGTATTTTCCATTCGAGGCAGAAGTTTCGTAGCACAAGCACACAGCACTAGTGAGCAAAGCCGATGAATGAAAGCTGAAATTGAGCCGATGAATGAAAGCTATTTAAACTTTAAATTTCATCCAAGCTATAGATATTTACGTAATACTGAAATGTGTCCCTCATGTACTAATATTCTAATTTTATTGCATTTTAAATTCCTATAGCCTTTCCTTTATAGTTTTCTTTTTTTTTTTTTTTTAGACCAAAAGGGGTTTTACTCTCGAAACGGCTTTTTGTGCTGGTTCACGATAAACGGCATATCACATTGCCAATTTTTGCCACCAGATACCATCGCTCTGTTATTATTTCTAAAGAATTTAACTAAGAAAGCGTTTACATACATGTATGTATGCTCTTCTCACTGTGCAAAAACAACGGTACCTACAGCCATCCAATTTGAGTCCAAACATTTGTTAAGTCCAAACATCCAAACAATCGGAACATTTGTTAAGTCGGTGCACAAGCTTTTGTATCCCACAGTCATAGAAGGTTGCCACCTGTTGGAACCCAGCGCGCACACAATTTCCTGTACCCTAACTTGACAGTCACAACTTCATAAAGAGTAGTCATTGACATTTCCGGTATGATCTGATGCAATTCTTTCAATTTGAGACGTCTATTCGCACGAATTGCTTCCTCTGTTCTCTGAAGAAGGGCATCAGAGATCGCAGATGGCCGACCTGTTCTTTGTTCGTCATGAACATCGGTCCTACCTTCAGAGAAATGACGACACCATTTCGTTACATTTTGTCGATTCATAATGTTCCCATAAACAGAAACAATTTCTTTGTGAATATCAGCTAGTCGCTGACCTTTTGCATGAAGAAAATGTATGACGGAGCGTGCTTCGCATTTGGCGGGATTCTGAATCGGCGCAGCCATTTTAAACACGACCTACTCCAACCAGAATCAACGTTGAAATTCCGAACGTCCGCGAGAAGAAAGCTAACGGTTCGAGGTTAACACCTGTGTTGCCAACTTGCTCACCAAAACTTTCCTTTTCCTCTGGCGTACGGTGTATCTTTACTTTTCGAAATGCCCTCGTATTCCTTCACCTGAACATGAGCACTTGGAACCCTGAATTTTTAATTTAGAATTTGCTTTATTATTTATTTCATATTTTGTAAATTTTTAGTGAATTTTTGATTAACAAACTCAATGATCTGAAAGCGAGCAATGGCAGCACCGTTCGAAATAAAACATTTTTACCTTCAGCTCGCGAATGTGCTGTCTTTCGAAAAATGTGAGATAATTTTTCTTTTAATTTTAATTAACAAACTCGCAATGTGTTGCCGCGGCCGGAAATAAAACACTTTGATCTTTCGTCCAGCATCTGCCCATTCAGTAGAGCCTAAGGTATTTTAAAATCTAATCTGGAAGTTTATTAGTGGTAAACTAACCGATTCAAAAGCAATAAACATAGTTCTTAAGAATATATTTTCTACATAATGTGACTAAATTAAAATCATGAGATGACGAATCAGGAATATTCAATTATTTTATGATATTACACTAAGTAGACTCACTGAAATCATTATATACATTTTAATGTTTATGATGTCTATTTTAGATGACTGCCAAGCGAGCGCCTAATGTTGAAAGAAATAATATAGCAAATGTATAGAATGTATGGCAACCTCTGAAATGCTACTCGGAATTTGAAAAATATGCTGTTTTTAAATATTTTGATATTTACTGCTGAAATATGTTGTATGTGGCGTAAATGGAAAGATGTGATACTTTTTAAATAAAGTTGACACGTAAACAGTTGATAATAAAAAGACAAAAAAGTTTTTCCTTTTTGCTAACTCCCTTACTAGGAAAACTGAACGGTGACGTGATGAACTGAGAAAGGACTAAAAAAATACAAGATTGCATGCCAGCACTTAACAGTACATCAGGAAGTCTAAACACATACTCTAGGAATTTTAAATTTTTGTGATTTTGTTGTTGAACTCAATGTGACGTAAGTGAGAAGAATAATAAAACTAAGAAGACCCCCCCCCAAAAAAAAAAAAAAAAAAAAAAAACGTTTAGCTAGCTTGATTGCAAGAGCAGACTGGTAGATTGACTGCAAGAGCATATAAAACCTTAAAAACCCTTTTTGGGAGAGTGTTAAAATCTGAAACGTTCCAGGTTTTTTTAAATAATTTATTTAATTTTCCTTTGCCGCTGTTAAGTTATGCGGGCCAACACTGCATTAATCTTATACGCGACAGGTGGGAAAATGACCATTTTTCTTCCATGGAATCTACATTCAGCGCTCTATGAGATATTTGATTAATCTTTCCAATTAGCGATGTGAATAACCTAATTTCAACCATTTAAAATCAATATATATACATAACAATTTATATACGTTATTATTATAATTTAAAAATATTCGTAAATAATGTAATTTAAAATTTACCTCACTGATTATTTACGCACACTCTGCACATACACACACAAAAATAATAATAAAAAAAAGGTACAGGTTCATGTCTTCCGCGTTACTGGGCCTATTGAATAAATTTAACCTGCATTTTTCATGCCTCAAAAACGGGGTTTGGATATATATTAGATTTATATATAGCATTATTCTAATATAATTGACACAAAATCGGCCTTTTTCTGAAATGACGCACCGATTTGTTTTTCTTACTTCCATTCTACCACTCAAATTACGACCAAATACAAAATTTTATAAAATATCGTGGAAAACTTGCCCCGAAATTCAAAAATTTAAAAAAATTATCGTGGAGGACTTTTCTCAGTTTGCGTTAAGAATAATTCACTTGGAGAAATTCTTAATTTATGGCAACGTACTTTCCTTTCTCTTTCACTGTGCACGAACGGTAAAAAAAAAAAAAAAAAAAAAAAAAAAGTGTGCATCGTTCATTCTTTCTAATAATTTCCTTCATAATATAATTTTTAATCATAGTTGTTACGCAAGCCACATTTGGCGTTATTATTGCTTAAAACAAAGATGTCCGATTTCAGAACGCGCCAATATGTAAACTCACGAACTTAGGAAATTTGAATAAAATGCTCTAACTTTTTTGCAGGTAGGCTTTTAAATATATATACTTTAAGATGGAAAAATTTTAATGGATTATAATTCAAAAATTGTTTTGAATACTTTATAAAAATTATTTATGCATAAAAATATACTGAAAAATTTGAAGGATTTTAGATTTTAAATTACGTCCAAAGGGGCGATTTTTTTTTTTTTTTTTTTTTTTTTTTTACGTGTGTGTGTGTGTGTTACCTTTATTTATTAAATATCATGATCTTCACACTTAAACCATAAAAT